AATTTAGTAGATGGAAACTATTGCTTGTCGTGTGGTGCAGACAAATCAGTAAAGTTATGGAATCCGTATAAGGGAACGCTTCTAAAAACTTATACGGGGACAGGATGGGAGGTTCGTTTTGACCTTGATCGCAGTCTTTTTTTAAATCAGTTTGATCGGTGTACTGTTCAATTAGCTTATATAAAACAAATAGTTTTATGAGGTTAACACATCAGTATGTTTTGGTGTTCCATTCCTTTTTTTTGTTTTATGGCTATGTTTTATCACTTTTGATTTAATTTATTGGATGAACCCTAAGAAGACACAATAATTGTCTGGAGATGTCAAATCTCGCAAGTAGGTACAGTAGGCTTAACATCACGGTTGAGTAAAGTGGAGTTCCTGCAGTACTGTTTATGAATCAGTCAAGTGCTCCAAATGTACATTGATTGAGATAGATTGCTTCATTTATTTAAAACTACTTCAATTTACAAATGCTGCAGGTACTAGATGCTCAGGGTTCCAGTGATAATTCACTGATACTTGCTGGTGGCATGGATAAACAGTTGACAGTATTTGATGTTGAAACGGGAAAAATAACACGCCGCTGGAGAGGACACAATGGTCCTTTTTTCTTTTAAATATTATAAGTTAATTCGTTAAAACGGTTTACAGCCTCTTTTTGTTAAAAATTATTAGATCTTTTTAGGTCAGGTTAACAGTGTGGCGTTTAATGAAGAATCAACGGTAGCAGTGTCTGGTTGCCAAGACGGCATCGTTCGATGCTTTGATATTCGTGATAAAAACGCACCAATACAGGTTATTTTGTTTTCTCCCTTTCCTGATTCTTGTTTAGTTTTCTCCATTTTCATCGAACATGTTTGGTTTTACAGCAAATGGATGAGGCTACAGATGCTGTGTTAACAGTTGATATCAGTTCACATGAGATTGCTTCGGGTTCAGCTGACGGCAGTGCTCGGATCTATAGTATTCGAGATGGAAAGTTGACTGATAGTAAGTTTGTATGTGAGTTTGGTTATATAAAATATTTATTTAAATTTGTTTGTTGCTCCCTGTAGTTGGAAATATGAGTGAAAATCAAGAAATTTTGCCACATCCTAGGTTTTAATTTCTTTTTATAATAAAAAATTTATGTAGGCTGGAAAAGCTTTTTGCACAAGAATGAACTTTATAATACTTATAAAAAATAGGTAGTTTTAGGAAATAGACTCTAATTCAGTACACTATGGATGCGTTTCGAAGCATCGTCGATTAAGTTGTTTGTTGGAAAGCATTAAATATGACTTCATCAAATATTTCTCTATGTTTGTTATTTTATACATATATCGAAAATGTTTCAGATTTTCTCGGCGATAGTGTTACGTCGCTGCATTTCTCAGCAGATGGCCAGTGTCTACTTGCGTCCACCAAAAATGGCTTCATTCGATTGATCGATAAAGTGAATGGTCAACTACTGGCAGAGTTTGTTTTCATTTTCCATTTATTTATTTTTAAATGCTTTTCATTATTGTTATTATTAACGCTTCTCATTACCTTCATGTTATCTTAAATTTGTTGGGTGCATTACCATATTGCAAGAAACTGAAGTAGTATTTAGAAGACCTCTCTGGAGCTATGCCTTTATTAATTATGAATCGCTTGTAACACTGTTTGCCATCTTTTTATTATAATTTTTTACTTTTGCTGAATTTTTTCAAAAAATTTTGGGTATATTTGGAAAGTTAGATTTACAGACCTAAATTGTGAATAAATATACTTTTGTCCATGGAATTCCAGCTACACAGGCCACTTAAATACTAAATATCGTGTGGAAAGCTGCCTACTTGCAACTGATGCGCACGTTGTGAGCGGTTCTGAGGATGCTCATTTGTACATATGGAGTATGATTAAGGTAATGGACTACATGTTCTATTTCTCCATTTTTCATTTCGTTATTATTTTGAAAAGCAAGTTTCGTTTATTGTTTAAAAATAGAAATATCTTTATTTTGTTGGGAGGTTGAAAAATTAGTTTAACTTGAAGCTCAGTTTTAAAAAATACAAGGTAATGCTGTTTTGGTTTTTTTTCACATTTAATTTCGAAATATATGGAGGAATTAAATACTACTTCAGATGAAAGTACTGCATAAGTTGCCACATCCAAGTTCCGTAGTGCACTCGGTTAGCTCACATCCAAAGAAGCCAGTGCTGTTATCTTCATCAACAACAAACATATTTCTATGGGGACTGAAAAAAGAAAAAGAAGAGAGTATATGATTGAAATTTCCATTTTCGGTCATTGTTTTATCCTGTTTATTGTTGCGTAAGGATTGAAACTATGTAAGTTATGCGTCTACTTTTTAGTTGAAAATTGTAATTTGCGATATTCGGAGTGGGCTTTATTTTAATTTTTTGTACGTAAAAGCGGATGCAAAATCAAGCGAAAATTCAGAATTCAAAAAATGGGATAATATATAAATGAATCGAAGTTTGTAATACAGTGCTAAAATTTCTAACTACAGTTCTCTTAATCTACCCGTTGAAAATCTGATTACTGACTTAATTTCAAGTGATTTTTCGCCGAATAATGTAATTGCTCGTTACATTTTACGGATTTCAGTAATATTTGTGTTGTTGGCAATATGTGTGTTTCCTATGCATATATGTATCGGTATTGCACACGTTGTCGAAATGCATTTAATTAATGTATGTCCTTTCATTGAGCCGCCTTTTGAAGATTGTAGTTGTGGAAGGAGTAATCCATTTGAAGTGGCTTAACGCTTTCATCATCAAGATGGCTTTAAACGACCTTTTAATATACATTCACCTATATTTGCAAGTGCTCTTAATCGTTCAAGCGCTATTTTTGGAAGGTATGCACTTTCATAGCATTAAGCAATGGCTTGATGCTTAAACACAGTTGATCGTTTCATGTATCAAACAAATACGTATGAAGTGGAAGAGAGTAATGACTGGTGTATGCGGAACTACTGTAATGATATGTATTTAATTTACCTACCAAATTTAGGGGATGAATTAACATTCCTTTCTGTTTCTCTACGTTAACATTGACAACAGTTATGCAGATGTCTCGAAATGTGTAGCAAGAAGGAAATTTCACAAAGCCGAATGTTGATTGACTTTTCTCATTGGGTTAAGCATGGTATTTCCTAATTATTTTCTTAATTTTATTAGGCTTTAAGAGAATTTCGAATTTTCCATGATTTCTGGAATTATCAAGTATCTTCCCGTGTGACTAATATGATGTGATGGGGGCGAAGAGGTCAATTTGTACGCAATAGGTTGGAGACATAATTTGTTGTGTTTATGTCTGTTTGCACAGTGGTCCGTAATTACAGTATCAACTTGCACCATTTGGCACACAACAACTCTCTCTCTCTCTCTTTTTCCATGTAAATTAGTTGATTTTCATATCAGCTTGTTTTTTTGTTTTTTTAAGATTGGTATTGTCCAAAAATAATATTAGAGGTGTCAAAAGTCACAAGAACGGTGCACTTCGAAGTAAGAGTGTTTTTAATTAAGCTATCTTACCGTTGTCACAGACGATGTCTTCAACATATTTCCGCATAAATCATATATATTTCAATTTGTTCGGGTGTATAGCCCTTACCTCCACTGCTGTAAATGCTTCAATTCACTTTGTCCCATTCTCTCTCCATCGTTCATTTCCTGTGACACTGCGTACGGTATTTTCATGATCTATAGAAGCACAAAATTGGTCATTCATTTTCCTAGTTTCCTGGATTTAATTTTGTATTTTAGTTTTAAGCTTCCCATGGCCCACTTCTGTTATCTTACTAAAGTTTCATTCATCATAATTCAGCATATAGATGAGAAATAAAATTAATCCCTAAAACTCATTAACTCGCTTTTATTAATTGATATATCAATCAAACATATCAAACAACTTAACGAGAAAAATTTTAATTAATTCATTTATTTCCTACAGTTTCCAAAGATAATTTAATTTAATGTAGGAAAGTTACAGCTTGTAGTCTAAGTTCTACAGTGAGAGGAAGCAAAGAGTATGTCATGTGTTGTATTGTGCCTTTCCATTAAATAATTTCCTACACCCTAAGCATCCTTTGGTGGTCTCAAAACCGCAACAATTAATGCTCGTAACCGGTCCAGACAGCAACGGTTTCCAATAACGGCGCCAGACCATGCTTAAATTAACCGTTCATAGCAAACCAACCAATTAATTGTTCTATTGTTAATATAGACGCCACTATACTAATTGCGATGCATTGCTTTTTTTAAATTTCGATCAGATTTTTTCTTGATGTTTGATTTCAAGTATGAGTTCGTTCCAAAAAAAATAAATTTGACGGAATCTTTGAGACTTGTCCTACCAAATTATCTGTTCAACAAAAGTGCAAATTATCCTGATAGTTGTTGGCAAATCATTAGTCTATTATTACAGTTTCAAATGCATATATCTGAAAATTCGTATTTTAGCATTAACTGAAAAGAAAAATATTTGCTGCTCTTATCTTTTTCAAAATCAATGAATTATCAAAGATTTACAGGGTAATAACTAATTGTTTGTTAATTTAATCTTTTCAGTAATTTATCACATTAACAAGTCACTGTTTGGTAAACTAATTTAGGGGACAATCCCTAGCCGTCCATTCGTGTACAGAGTAGTATTGTTGTCATCTATTATAGCAGCATCATTCATTAATATGCATAAAATTGGTCGCATGCAGTGGAAATAAGCAATAATAAATAATTGCCGACATGAATAGCATGTGATTCACACCATTTGAACCATAATAATCTTGCAATAAGTTTTTTTTTATGGATAGATGAAATTTGTTGGGTACTAATAGAACAATTGAAGATTGACAATAGATATCATGATCAAATTACGGATGAAGTAATACATTCTCAAGGTCTTTGACAGGAGGATAAGAGACAGCGCATTGAAATTTTTTTCAATTTAGCACTGAGGACTGTCATATCACGCTGATATCATTATTCATTTCGTGTTGTTAAATTACCATTACTTTTACTGCAACAGTTATCGTAATGTGGCATTTAAGTATTGCTTACCATTCACATTATTGTCTTTTTCTGACTTCATGCCAAATAAAAAAAATTTTTTTTTTGCATACTAATTACCAACATTTTCATTATATTGATTATAATGTTTTGACAGTATTATCACAGCTTCATAATGCGTTACCATAATTGAAATAATTTCATCAATTTTACTATTTGAATTTCTTCACATATACAGCTGTTCTGCTATATCATCACCAGGAATAGGTGGATGGGAAGTGAAAAGGCCTGAAGAAGCTTTGTATTAGCAAGTTTGCAACTAATTCATCAAGCCTTTAAAGCAGTAAGTGCCTTTTCCTTTCTCATCTTTTGCTCAAAATAAAGTTATTGCATTTTGTATGAAAGATCTTAAAAGGAGGGAAGAAAGAGGGAATGGATAGAGCTCGAGATGGGAAACTTAATTAGTTGGCCCATTAGCTGTGATGCCCAGAGCAGCTATTAATGGTCTGTTGTGGGGGAACGATCCCTGCGCTATTATATGCTGCTAGCAATACCCTTTAGGTTTTCAAATTGAAGCTGTAAATTACGATACTGAAAACGAAAGGGATGTCAGTGTAATGAAACCATGCTCATTTTTACTTGAAAAGTTTCGCAAAATTCTCACATTAGCTCGAATAAAAAAAGCTCATTGAAATGACACGGAAAAAGTGAGAATGGCTAGAATTCAGAAAAAGGAAAGTTACTTTTTGGATTTTAAAAGCCAGTAGTTTTCTCCGATAGCGGAGCAGACCGTAAGAATTAGTTATAATATTCGCATTATTGGCAGTTCGAAATGAAGGGGTGAAGATTGATTCGAGATTGTTCAAGTTCAATTGAATTCGAGGGAAATGTTGAATCAGAAAGAATTGCACTGATTTCATTGGATCATAGAATGAACGTGAATCATGAGCAGATATATACATATAATGAATTTTTTTTTCACAACTTCAATTTGCATATTCGATTGCCTTTAGATTGGCAAAATTGGATAAAATCACGATGATTACACATGGACGTTGCTGTAGCCAAGATATGTAACTTTGGTTTGTTCCGGAATTGGCCACCACACCTGCCTCGTAGCTTCATCCACCAAAAAGTTGCAAAGAGAGGAAGAGAGAGAGTGAGGGGAAGAGAAACAAATTATCAACAATCCGATCAGCTATCCCATGCCATCAGCATTTACCCTTTCAATCCTGTCTATCACATTGAGCACTTGATGGAACCGCCCCTTTGGAGCATTGAATTTGAAATGATTACGGTAAAGAGAGCTGCAGCGAATGGGATGATGAGTTGGGATTACCCGCAGCACAGGAACTCCAAATATGTACATGGCAGAGCCAACGAGTGCTCCTAGTCCGAGTACGGGTGCTGTCAACTATTTCTCCATCAACCATTTGCTCCGAGAATCACCATTTCCATCTCCGCAATCAGGCATTACTGACCCCAAAAATAGTTCACGAACAGATGGAGAAAGTCCCGGAACATCCAGTAAAGGAATTCCTGAAAGGGAACTAGAAACAGTGGTAGCAGCCTCCAGGTCTAAGTCGAATCTGGTGGTATCTGATGGTGATCGTTTACTTACCACTCTGCAAACTAGTGGTACTTGCGTACAGCCTCATTTTTCACTATCCTTGAATCCCACTACCGCAGCGATTGATTTATTGAAGCAATCAGATTCCTTTGTGGATCGAAAATCTGATAGTGATCCAGTATGTCGTGAAACAACAATACCGCTGTGGTTGAACTGTGCGGCTGCAACTGCTGCCGTTCTTCCCTTTGAACAAAGTTTCTTAATGGCTCAAAGATCCGGTTAGTTCCTCTTTCTGTGATGGGTCTTTTAGAATATTGAAGAATTTATATTCTAACCTTTCAATCAACCTGTACAGCCTAATATTGATTTCATGTTGCTACTGCCAATACTAAATATGAATTAGGAAGTTCGGCTTGAAATTAATTGAGTAGTTAAGTTCAACCTTGGTTTAAACTGTTATCAGGAAGCTCATAACAGTAATTCAAATCATTCATTTAAATTCGACTTAATTAATTCTCTGATGATCGAGCAGAATCTAATCATAGGTGGTGGCAACAAATTTGCACCAATCACTCTTACCCTTTTATCCTCTATGCTACTATTTTCATCACTATGCTCTCCCCAGCATACAATTTATAATTTCACATAGATCAATTTCAAGTTATATCATTTATACTTTTCGCCCAATTCTCTCTAAATACTATTGCTAAATCTTTGCTTCTCTTTTTCAACTGTAAGGGATAAATATATTTCGTCAGTAATATTGCTACAGCAATTCTTGGCTTACGAAAGTGTTCCATAGCGGACCTGAAAAGAATATTTCTTAATATATAAATGAGTTTACAATTTTGGTTCAAAATATTTTAGCGGCAGTATTCCCTCACTTATGGGCAGCTTCAGCTAGTGCTGATGCTTTACAGTTGGTGTCAGCCAGTAAATCATATCGGCGTAGGAAAGCACGTACCGTATTTTCGGATCAGCAGCTACAAGGTCTCGAGAAGAGGTTTGAAACACAGCGTTACCTGTCAACACCAGAACGTATTGAACTTGCTACTGTTTTGAATTTGAGTGAAACACAGGTATGACTTCAAAAATACTAAAGGATGCTTGTTGGGAAAAGTTCAACTGAATTTAATAGTAATTATAAAGGTTAGATTGAGACAGTACATATGAAAAAGCTGAGCGGGAATCGTTTCACAGGTGAAGACATGGTTCCAAAATCGGCGTATGAAACATAAAAAGATCGTCCGAAAGCAAGGTGACAACTACATTAACAATGGAGACAACACCACGAAAACGGATAATACGGATTCGAATGAACGATAATTTGGATTATTTAAACCAACAAATTTTGAACTTCGAAATGATTCTTGTACCAATCAAATCTATATGATGAGAAATGAACATAATTCCCTGTTTTCATACTTCTTGGTGCATCTGAAAAAAGCTGCATATTTCAAGTTTGAAACTTTAAACATATCCGAAAGCATATGGTTTTGAACTTCATTCATATAAAGTATGTAAGTGATTTGAGAATTTGATAGTATGCAATGCAATGTAGCCGTTGTCTTCAAATGGGGCAAAAATTTTTTGCTTTTGTTTGTTTGAAAACGCTTCAATAGTATGAATAGTTTGAACTTTTATTTTTCCATGAAATTTTTACATGTAAATAATGCTAACAATATTTAGTCTTTGCAGTTATTTGTGTATCATTTGGAACAAAGTAATTTAATGTGGGATAGGCATATCGATTGGAAGATTTGTGTGACA